AGTGTCTGCCTTCGGCTCAGGTCATGATCCCAGGGTCCTGGGATCGAGTCCCACATCGGGCTCCCTGCTCAGCGGGGAGCCTGCTTCTCCCTCTGCCTCTCTCTCTCTGTCTGTCTCTTATGAATAAAGGGATAAAATCTTTAAAAAAAAAAAAGAATAAGACTTACCTTAGACTTCTCTTGAGAAAGCATGCAACAACAACAACAAAAAGAGTGAACTGAAATATTTAACGTGTTGAAGAACAACAAAACAAAGCAAACAAACAACAAAACCCAAAAACTACCAGCCTAGAATTCTGTATACAGCAAAATTGTCTTTCCAACGTGAAAGAGATAGAAAGACTATTAGCCAAACAAAAATTGAGGGAATCGTTGCCAGTAGACCTGCCTTGCACAGGTAAATGTGAAAAGAAGTTTTCAGAGAGAAGGGAAATGGTGTAGTTCAGATATTTGGGTCTACATAAAGAAAGAAAGAGTGTTAGGGAAGGAATGAATTCAGGTAAGATAAACTCTTTTCTTTTTGAATTAATTGTTCTAACAAAAACTGTTCAAAATAATAACAGAAATAATGTGTTCAGTGACTACAGCTTATTGATAATTGAAACTAATGACAGCAATGTTATATAAGAGACAGGAGGGATGAATTGGGAATATTCTGTCATGAGGTACTTGTACTACACATGAAGCTATAGTGTTTTTTGAAAGTGGACTTGGATTAGTTGTGAAAGCATATTGCACACTCTAGGGAAACCACTAAGAAAAAAAAAATTAAAACCATAATGGCTCTGCTAAAAGACAAGAGAAAATGGGATCATATAAAACACTCAATTAAAACCACAGAAGACAGAAAAAGAGTAGAAGACCAAAAAAAAAAAAAAAAAAGGAGGAAGGAAGGAAAAGAAAAGAAAAACAAGGGCAGCAAATAGAAAAGGGTTAAAAACATGGCAAATATTATTCTATCTATAACAGTAATCACTTTAACTGTGAATGGTCTAAACACACCTATTAAAAGACAGAGGCTATCAGTGTTGATTAAAACCAAACAGAACCTAACAAAAACAAACAAACAAAAAAACCAGACCCAACGATGTGTTGTCTACAAGAAACCCATTTTAAATATAAAGACACAGACAGATTAAAAGTAATGGTATGGAAAAAAATAAAAGATACCATGCTGAACACTAATAAAAAAGCTGGAGCAGCTATATTAATTTCAGACAAAGTAAACTTTAGAGCATGTAAATTATCAGGGATAAAGAGATGCATTGTATAAAGGAACAAAAAGCAAATTTCCCTGACAGATAACACACTGCTCGATCTCTTGGTAGATATGGCATCGTTCGCATGGAGGATCTGATTCACAAGATCTATATTACTGTAAAGTGTTTCAAAGAAACAAAAGACTTCCAGTGGCCCTTCAAATTATCTTCTCCATGAGGTGGAATGAAGAAAAAGATCACCCATTTTGTGGAAGGTGCAGATGCTGGCAATAGGGAAGACCAGATCAACAGCTTATTAGAAGGATAAACTAAGGTATCTAGCATCACTATTTCTGCAATTTGGCCAGTTAATACACAAGGACTGCTTTCAGACTGAAAAAGAAATCTTATATAACTATAATTATATAACGGCTCTTCAAGAAGACATGACAATCCTTAATGTGTAATGCACCTAACAGTAGAACGTCAAAAGACATGAGGCAAACACTGATAGAAACTGCAAGGAGAAAAAGCTGAAACCACTGTTATATAGTTAGAGACTTCAGCTCCCTTCTGTCACAAATGGACAGATCCAGCAGGCACAAAATCAGTAAGAACATAGTTTAACTGAACAGCACCATCAATCAATTGGATCTAATTGACATCTACACAATACCTCATCCAACAACAGCACAATACACAACCGTCTCAAGCTCACATGGAACATTTGCCAAGGTAGACTCCACTGTGGGCCATAAAACACGCCTTAACAAATTTAGAAGAATATAAATCATACAATAAATATATGCTCTCACACCAAGTGGAATTAAACTAGAAATCAATAACAGAAAGATAGCTGGAAAATCTCAATAGATTAAACAACATACTTCTAAAAACATAATTTGTCTCTGGTTAACAGGAGATTCTCGCGGGCGCCTGGGTGGCTCAGTTGGTTAAGCGACTGCCTTCGGCTCAGGTCATGATCCTGGAGTCTTGGGATCGAGTCCCGCATCGGGTTCCCCACTCAGCGGGGAGTCTGCTTCTCCCTCTGACCCTCCCCTCTCTCATGCTCTCTGTCTCTATCTCATTCTCTCTCTCAAATAAATAAATAAAATCTTTAAAAAAAAAACAAAAAAACCAGGAGATTCTCGGGAAGGGCCATCATGCTCTACGTTGCAGTCCTCTGAATGAAAACAAGAATGAATGGTTAAATCCTTAAAACCATACAACACTTAGGCCTTAGTACCTTGTATAGAAATAACCTTTCAGTCTTGAGCAAGACCTCAGCTCCCTATTCCAGAATGTGTGACCTGAGCTCATCCTGTGGCAGGAAAGACTCTGATCCACTTGAAAGCATTCAAGGCATCTTCTATCAGTTTAAGGTGTAGAGAAAGGTGGGCCACAAATGGTATTCCTTGTGGTCTCCGAAATCTGTAACAATATAAAATTTTGAAGGCATAATGTTTAACACCTCCAGAATATGGATTTGAGTCCCTGGTTCATTGGTGACTAGTTGTGTGACCCTGAGCAAGTCACTCCAACTCTCTGAGCCTCAGTGTTGTCACTGATAAAATGGGTATAATATCAGTACCTTTTTCATTGTGTTGCTATGACGATTAAATGAGCTGACGCATCTAAGCATTTGGCACAGTGCCTGGAACATAAAAAGTGCCCCATAAGTGGTACCTAATTCTAGGACCTACATTCCGTATTCCCTGAACCTCCTATGTGCCCAGCCCTATGCTAGGTATTGCCATGGAGAAGGGAGCCAATAGGAAGAAGGATTTGAAGCCCTGTTCTCAGAGGGCTCAACATCTCTGTGGAAAATGAAAATATTCTATGTATGACAGTCAGCAAACCCTCTGGCACAGGGAATATCTGGGTACAAGGGGCATGGGTCAAAGTAAGCAATCAAGGAAGGGCTGCCCAGAGAAGGAGCAGTGAAGATACGGATAAGTAAAGGGGAAGTGGGAAGGTCTGTTATCCAAAGGGCTCAACAAGAGCAAAGTTGTGGAGAAAAAAAAAAAAATGGAATGTGGGTTATCTGGGGGCTGGTGAGAAGATCCGCTTGGAAGAAATGGAAGGTGAGATAAAAGAACAGATTACATAGGGCAGAACCAAAGCATGCCAAAGTCACTGAAAAGAAGTTATAAAGACCTAGAATCATAAAGCTCTTAAGCTTTAGGGTCCTGGAATCACTGAATCCTGGGTCATGGGGTCCAGGAACCATGGAACACACAGGATTCTAGTACCCTGAATGCATAGAGCTTGAACCTTCTAGACCACCACTGTCTAATAGAACTATCTTGATGATAGAAATGTTCTAAAGTTCTGAGGTGTCCCATACAGTAGCCACTGTTCTGCAATAACTCTCGTGTGGTTATTGGACACTTGAAATGTGGCTACTCAAAGTAAAGAAATAGCATTTAACATTTTTTTTCGTTAATTTTAACTAACTTACATTTAAGTAGCTACATGTGGCTAGCAGTTACCATTGGACAGTGTAGTTCTAGGCTTAGATCCATAGGGGCCTATAGCATTTTTCCCTGAGAATTCTAGACTTCCAGAGTGCCAGAGTCAGAGAGTCTTAAAACCATACAACACTTAGGCCTTAGTACCTTGTATAGACATAACCTTTCAGTCTTGAGCAAGACCTCCAGCCTTGGTCCATCTCCTTCACTTCATCCATATCCCACAGACTGAAAAGGCCACGAATGTGATCCTGAGTGACCTGCGGGTCAACGACCACTTCAACATCATCACCTTTTCTGACTCGGTTAGTGTCTAGAAAGCTGGAGGCTCCATTCAGGCTACCATCCAGAATATCCACAGCACCAAGGACTACCTGGGTCACAGGGAAGCTGATGGTTGTAAGTGTTAGACCTACGCACTCAAATGGATGGGCTATGGTAATGTGGGGAATTCCTTTTTATTTATTTATTTATTATTTATTTATTTTTTCTGTTTTAGGTAGGCTCCACACCCAACGTGGGGCTCAAACTCATGACCCTAAGATTAAGAGTCACGTGCTCTACCGCCTGAGCCAGCCAGGTGCCCCAGATGTGGGGAATTCTTGGAATGCTCCCTTCATTCCCCCATCCACCTCACCTCTCACAATACCTGAAATATCACTATTATATTTTATCCAAATACATCCCTTCATCCTTCTGGGTCCCTTTTCCTAGTAGAAAGAACATAGCACTATGTATTTTAGGGCACATTCTTCTTTGGCCCTGAGTTTCTTTAAAGCATATACTCAGAAGAATTTGCCAAAACTTTTTAAAATCAATAATCTACATACTTATTTCCAAGCATTTGGTCAAGCTACCGTCCTGATTCTGGCTTTTGATCAATCGTCTCTCAGAAAAGTACTCAAGTCTCCCCCACCCACCACCTCCTGTCAACTCAGCCCTTTCTTCCCCTGTAGCCTGGAGGTGGGGTTGCTATCGTTGGGGAGCTGCCTGTCTGACTAGAGAATTAAGATATCCCCCCAGGAAACAGGCAAATCATAGTCTGAGGCAGGGAATGATAAAAGCCAAGGACATGTGGGCCCCACTGTCAGATCTCAGGGAGCCTGTGTGGGGGTGGGGGAGTTAGGAAGGATAAGCAGCAGAAACAGTCTGAGCAAAGATGAGGAGAAATGACTGAGCCTGAGAGGTTGGTGAGGTGCCCAGAGTGTCTGCAATGGGGATAGAAATAACTAGAAAAGATGGTCTCACAGTCAGCTTCCCAATTAGGGACCAACGTTCACCCAGCTCTGCTAAACCATAGCAGTGCTAAACCACAGCAGTCAGGAGACTGGACGGGGCCCCAATAAGGGGAGGATTCCTCTCATCATCTTCCTGACAGATGGGGAGCCCACAGCCAGTGTGATGACCCCCAGGGTGACCCTCTCCAACATCTGTCAGGTGCTGGGCAACAGGGTGTCCCTTTTCAGTTTGGCCTCTGGGGATGAGGCTGACTTCCCATTGCTGTGTCACCTGCCCCTGGAGAACCAGGGAGCAGCCCAGTGCATGTATGAGGGCACTGATGCACCCCTACAGCTGGAGGACCTCTATGAGGAGGGCCTCTCCATGCCTCTGCTGGCAGATGTGCATCCGGACTGCCTGGGCGGCTTGGTTGGGGCCTCCCCTTGGGCCTTTTCCCCCAGTTATTCTGGGGGCTCAGAACTGGTGGTGGCAGGACAAGTGCAGGCAGGCAGGCAGGCAAGCAGGAACTGGGCATCCACCTGGCAGCCCGTGGCCCCTAGGGTCATCTTCTTGTGGCCTGCCACAGTGAGGTGGCCACCAACAGCAGCCAGAAGAACTTTGGTGTCCCAGGGGAGCCAGCCTACAATGTAGCCCACTTCACCTGCTGCTTCTGGGCCTACATCACTATTGAAGAGTTGCTGAGGGATGCTTCCGAGCCCGTGACACCACCACTCTCCACCTGCTGGCCGCCAAAGTCCTCAACCTGTCCCTTGAATACAACTTTGTCACACCTCTGACTTCACTGGTCATGGTGCAGCCCAAGGAGGCAAGTGGGAAGGCCAGGATACAGACTTCCACTGCAGCTGGACCAGCACCATTATGCCCTCATCCACCAGCAGGCATGGCCTAGGGACAGGCACAGCCCAGTCAGCCTTGGTACCCAAGGTGTCTCCCAAATCAAGGCTTGTGAAACCAAGGTCCTATTTATCCTCAACGACTCCTGCCTCTACAGAAATTATGCCCAGTTCCAAGGAGTTGGAGCCACTGGGTCAGAGCACTAAGTACCCTATCCACCCCAGCACACCCAAAGCCCCCAAATCCAGCACAACAGGATTCTGGCACTTTGGTTCAGCCAACTCTCAGAATAAAAACTGCTGCCTTTGGGCCCTCAAACTCTGGTGCCCCGTTGCTTATGAAGCCCAGTGCACCATCACACCAGAATCCTGGTACCCTATTACCCATGAGTTCCAAGACACAAGTCCCACCTCTGAATCCTGGCACCCTATCCCAGCCCAAAGCTGGCATTATGAAACATGTTATTCCACTGCCCTCCAAACCTGGTGCTCCATCACAACCCAAACTGGATGTTCTATCACACTCTCAACCTGGGGTACTCACGTCACAGTCACCCAAAAGCTTGCCACAGCCCAAGCCTGGAGTCTCCACACTTCAGATCCTCAAATACCTACCACACACTAGACCAAATGTTCCTGCTCACAAGACCCCAGACAATCTGTCACACCCTAACCCCAGGATCCTCTTACCTTAGGCCCCTAAGATAATCCCATCACCTCTTAAATCTAGTACCCTACCTCCCCCAAATGACCCAAGCTTATCATTTTTCCAAACCTAAGACCCCAATCCCCAATAAACCCAAAACCCCATTACCCCCCAGACCTGCCAGACCTATGCCCCCACCTCCTCGGGATCCAAGCACATTCACAAGCACAACCTCAAGTCCCGCAAGTCCCAGCAGCACCATGACCACCTCTGTCCTTGGAGAAGCCCTCCCTATTACCTTTGGCTCCACCTTGCCCTCTCGGCTGCCCCGAGAAAGCTCTGGCATCAGCATGACCTGCTGCTGGGGCCCCAAAGTACCAGGCAAATTCTGGGACTATCTGTGTCAGAAGTCCCAACAATGAGCCTACCCAGCAGCTCCAGGCCTATGCCAGAAGGCAGCCCCCCAAACCTGCCAGTCTTGCTGCCTTCTGGCACCCTCCCTGAGGCAGTCAGCCTACTCCATCTCCCTGAGGAGCTAGAGCTGCTGTCTGAGTCAATGGTGGAGTCCATGATCATGGAGTCCTTGAATCCACCAGCTTTCTATACCTTCCTCACTCCTGATGAAGATGGTGAGTGCCATGGGCAAGAGGTCAAGCCATGCGGGGGAGGTATGAATGGAGAGCTCCAGGGATTGGGAGCGTACAAGGCTTCTGCAGATTCTAGTGATGACAGTTGCCTGATTGCTTGCTTTGAGACTTTGAATCAGCTACTTAACCTCTCTGGGCCTCAGTACATAAGCACAGAATTAGAGGAGGGATGTTAAGACTGGGAAGGCTAAAGAGAAACAATCTGGTCAAGCTGTGGTTTTGACATTTGCTATGTTGGACAAGAGAATTGTTCATGCTTCCCAAGCAGGGTAGGGATACAGGGTTCTAAATGGAAGCACCACTGGGTAAGGCAGGTCTGATTAGTTCTTTTGTGCTCTGTAAACTGCCCTGCTAACAGAGAGGGGTACACAAATTGGAAAAGATGATAATTATTATCTTTAAGTTGCCCAAAGACTGTGAAGTAATAACAGTTAACATTTTTTTAGTCCTTCCTATGTGCAGGTACTCGTCTACATTTTGTACTTTTAGTCCCTCATTTAACACACACACACACACACACACACACAACCTGTTGAAATCTGCATTTTACTCATGGGGGGAAACTGAAGTACAGAGAACTGAAGTAACTTATTCCATGTCACACAACTAGGAAGAGATCTGGACCTACATTAATTTGGTCATAGACTGAATGTGCTCCACCACTCCATTGTTCTGTCTTCCTAAGAAGAGTGACATTTCCTGGGAGACCTTATAGGGCAGGATTAGAACCAGTTGGTGGTGGCAGTAAGTCACAGGGATTCAAATTTGGGCATGAGATCCTTGACATGCCCCTCTCCTTCACCACTCACCAATATCCCATCCATCTTCAGTTCTTGGCAATGTTACCTCTGACATATTTGCCAAATGCACCCACTTCTCACCACCCCAACTGTCACTATCTTAGGGCAGATTACCATTGTGTCTACCTTAGAAAACTGTTCCAGTCTCCTCACTGGTCTCCCTGCTTCCTCTCTCGGGAGATTTTTTTTTTTTTTTTTTGCCATTCTTCCCCAGCAGCAAAAGGATCATTTAAAAACAAAGATTACTTCATGTCCCTTTCTTACTTAGGTCCCCTCAAGGGTTTCCCATCACACTAGGAATGAAGTCCAAAGTTCTCTTTATAGCCTACAAGGCCCTGTGTGATCTGCCCTCTATCCCATACCCCTCTGACCTCACTTTCTCCCACTCACTCTCTGAACTCTAGCCCGCCTGGCCTCCTCTCTATTCACTAATGGGCCCTGCCTCAACCCCATCTCCACTCAGGGACCTCTCTCAAGCTGTTCCCTCTGTTTGATAATCGCTCTGTCCTGCCCTGCCCTGCCCCCTGTCTACCATCTTCATCTCTTGCATTGCCACTCAAATTCAGATCACATCTTAGATCTCAGCTCAGATGTCCTTCCCACCCTCTCCCCAACCGCCCCAGACTTCATCAAATATCTGTAATTCCCTCAGTCACTTTATTATTTTTTCTGGGGCTCCTGGCCTGGTTCAGTCAGTAGAGCATGTGACACTTGATCTCGGGGTTGTGAGTTCGAGCCCCATGTTGGGATGTAGAGATTACTTAAAAATAATACTGGGTGTTGTATGTAAGTGATGAATCACTAAATTCTATTCCTGAAACCAATACTGCACTGCATGTTAACTAACTAGAATTTAAATAAAAATTCAAAAAGAAAAAAAAATAAAATTTTGTTTGAACTATTAAAAAAAAATAAAACCTTAAAAAGAGAGAAAGTGAGCAAGTGAGAGAGAGAGAGAGAGAGAGTAGACAGACAGACAGAGATATTCACAAAGACCCAGACACAGAAGCAGAGGAGACAAGAAACACAGTGATACATAGAGACACAGGGACACAGAGGTAACCAGGGAGACATAGGTCAACACCATGGTCCAAGACACCAAGGACTAAGAAGTACAAGCACAGAGACATGCTGACATGATGACTTACAGACACGGGATAGGGGATGAGAGGAGAAAACAGAGACACAGGGCCACAGATCTACCAAAGCATAGAAACAGAGATGCTGCACACACCAAGACTTGGTAGCAAAGACCTAAGGACATGGGCACATGCAGAGGAGCCCACTAAGAGTGGAACTGGAGCACAAACTTATATACTCAGAGATCCAGTGGCAAAAACGTGGGAATGCAGACACCGAAACTGTGACAAACACCAGCTAAGACACAGGGGTTAGGCTAGGTAACAGAGAGACATAAAGACAAGCAAGCTGGAGGCCCAGATATAATGGAGACACTGTGACATAGGGACACAGGAATTTAGAAAGGGAGAGAGAGAGAGAGACAGAGAGAGAGAGAGATCCCAGAATAAGTAGACATGGGGATGTGAACCCACAAACACAGCCATATGGATACAAGCTAGAAATGGGAACAGATACACAGGAACATGTCTGGGAGGATCAAGATAGGAACAAAGAAACCTAGACACATAGAAACAGACACACAGAACATAAACAAACGGGCAGAGACACAGTGACAAGGAAATCTATCCAGAGAGGCAGGGAGGCAAAGGCACAGAACAAAAATAAACCTGGGGATACCCAGAAATAAAACACACAAATAGGCCACAAATGAAGAGCTGGGGACAGTGAATCAGGCACAGGGACACAGAGAGTGGCTCAAAAATAAAAAGACACGAGTAGGAGAATACAAAGATGGCAGCAGTGTAGGGGAATGCTATGCTCACCTCGTCACACAACCAGAACTAGATAATTATCAAATCATCCTAAATACCCCAGAAATAGACCAGAAGACTGACAGAACAAACTCTGTAACTAAAGGGAGAAAAGAGGCCACATCGAAAAAGGTAAGGCAGTGGGGAGACATGGGTTAGGGGAGAAAACAATCCTGGGTGCTGCAGAGGGGAGGGAGCTGTGGTCACAGAGAAGGGTAAGAATGAGGAGCACGCAGGGGAATGCACAAAGAGAATGCATCCCCAAAGCCATTGGCTTGAAAAACAAGAGTGGCTGAATTTCACGAGTTCTTGCAACCAAGGGGGCTTAAAGGCTGGAGTTTTAGAGGTCAGTGGGCTTGGCTGGAATAGACTTGGAGGGCACTGCGCTGCTCCTGGAGAGAAGGCAGGCAAAGGACCTGAAGGCAGACAGTGTGGAAACAGCAATCTGAAAATCACCTGGGACACACAGTGGGAGAGTTTATTTGTTCTTCTCGTAGTGTGTCCCTGAGAGCCAGTATTCGTGGAGATGCTGCTCCGGGGACAAAGAAGCTGACTGGTGCTATTTCCCTCCCCTGACCCACAGCATAAACAGGGAGCCACCTGGAGCAAGCAACACAGTGCCCACACTGGCTGCCTAACCTGCTTACACCAAGCCCCACACCCTTGTGCTCTGATGGGACTGTCCTTCTCAGTCAAGCTTGCTCCAGTCCCAGCGCAGAGGGCCCCTTCCCAGAAGACCAGGAGAAAACCATGCCCACACCACATCTCCCAACCAGAGAGTTCTGCAGGGCTTCAGTTCCAGTGGAGGTACTTTCAGGTCTCATCTAACAAGCAGACTAGAGCACACCTACTTAAAGCTCACCACTTTCTGCCAAAGGACCAAACACTGCCCACTGCAGGCAGAGAGCCTCTGCAGACAGCTACCCTGAAGGATAGAGCAGCCAAAACACTCCTGCAGAGTGCACACAACGCACACCAGAGACACTCCCTGAAGTGCCAAGCCCTGAACACTACATGACCTCTTCCTCATTAGGCCTTCGCTCTCAGGAGCAGGAAACATAACTGGCTATTCTCACACACAGACGAAGGCAGAGACCTAGACAAAATGTCACATGGAGGGATTCATCCCAAATGAAAGAATAAGATAAGGTCATGGCCAGAGATCTAAGCAAGACAGATATAAGTAACATGAGTGCTGGAGAATTTAAAGCAACAATCATAAGAATACTCCCTGGGCTTGAGAAAGAGTAGAAGATTTCAGGGAGACCCTTACCACAGAGATAAAAGAGTTAAAAGCCAACCTGACAGAAATGAAAAAGGCAATAACTGAGATTCAACCCCGGCTGGATGGAATAACCACAAGGATGGAAGGAGCAGAGGAATGAATGAGTGATATAGAAGATAGAATAATGGAAAATAATGAAGCTGAACAAAAGAGAGAAAGCCAAACTATGGATCATGAGGAAAGGCTTTGGGAACTCAGTGACTACATCCAACATAATAACATTCGTATCATAGGAGTCCCAGAAGAGGAAGTGAGAGAAAAGGGGACAGGGGGTTTATTTGAGAAAATAATAGCTAAAAACTTCCTTAATCTGGGGACGAAAACAGCCATCCAGAACCAGGAGGCACAGAAAACTCCCATCAAAATCAACAAAAACAGGCCAACACTAAGACATATTGTAATGACATTTGAAAAATAGAGTGATAAATTAAAAATCTTAAAAGCAGCAAGACAAAAGAAGTCCTTAACCTACGAAGGAAGATACATAAGGCTAGGTGAGATTTCTCAACAGAAACTTGGCAAGCCAGAGGGGGGTGGCATAATATATTCAAAGTGCTGAATGGAAAAATCTGCAGCCAAGAATACTCTACAGCAAGGCTATCACTCAGAATAGAAGGAAAGATACAGAGTTGTCCAGACAAACAAAAACTAAAGGAGTTTGTGACCACTAAAACAGCCCTGGAAGAAATATTAAAGGGACTCTTTGCAAAGGAGAGATGAACAGGGATAATGACAAGAAAGGATCAGAGAAAATCTCCAGAAATGACAAGAACAAGTAATAAATTGGCAATAAGTACATACCCAGCAATAATTATTCTGAGCGTAAATGGACAAAATGCTCCAATTAAAAGACATAGGGTGTCAGAATGGATAAAAACAACAACAACAACAACAACAACAACAACAACAACAACAACAACTGAGTCTCATCTATATACTTCCTACAAGAGACTCATTTCAGACCTAAAGACAGCTGCAGATTGAAAGTGAGGGGATGGAGAAACTTTTTTTCACACAAAAGGATGTCAAATGAAAGCCAGCATACTGATTCTTGTATCAGACAAACTAGACTTTAAACCAGACTGTAGCAAGAGAAGAATGACACGATTCATAATAAAGGGGACAATACAGCAAGAAGATCGAACAATTGTTAATATCTGTGCACCCAACATGGGAGCCCCAATAAAACAATTAATAAC